TTCTCTGCCTCAACAATTTTTTTCCCTTTAATTTACCAAGTTTATGAAAATCTGGCTAACTCGCATCAGCAAAATTCATCTTCGAATGTTCGTGGTTGGGGATACATATAGTATAAATCATGTCTAGTTCTTTTATTTTGCTTTCAATGCTTCTACTAGGTAAAAGTGAGAAAGTAGTAGCTGTTTCTTTATCAACCATTTTCAATTTGCCATCTCGGAATAAAAAATTAAAAAATGCCCTCTTCTTTTTTCAAAATATTAGGACGAGAAACTACTTTATTTTTACTTGGCCTTATGTGTTGATTCATCTGGTTTTTATTCATTGTATGATTTGGATTATAACTGTTTGTATATATATGTTACCAAGGACATCTTTACACCAACATTAATCAACCAAATATTTACATGGCTGTTTCCAATTAAAAAGCATTGTTGACTTGCCTGATGTACAACATTAAACCCTCTTCTTTTTTTTTAAATCAGAAAACCACTCGCAATATAAGAGATTTCAAAAAGAAATGTTTAAAACAAAAAATTCCCAATTCCTTCAATTTCTAAATTTATATTCTAGGTTTATTTAAAGCGAATGAATTGATGGTCAATCACTACAAAACATATAATAAGGAATTGAAGTATTGGAGAGATATAGTACATGAAGTAGAAATACCCATTTTAGGTTTTGATATGCAATACAAATCTATATTTAGCAAATATAACTACCAGTAAGTCAATATAGGATGTAGGTAATTAAAGAACAATTACAATGTAATTTGTTTAAATTATGAAGTTAAATTTTGGGTAATGTGGTAAACAACAGGTTTCAATTGAGGAAGGAAGTCAAAAAAATGAAAGGAAGGTTGAGATGAGTGTATAGATACAGACACCAAATCTTAGTCAAAGGCTTTCATTTATTTCCAACAAAATAACCATGGTAATTATGTACACTATACATATATTTTGCTCGTACTTTAATCTGTATGGCCTTTATCATATTAAAAAATATAATCTGGTGGTAATCAAGTAATAAATTATGATAATATCATAACCCTAGTAATCATTGTTATCTGCCATAATTATATATTACTATACCATATTTATCAATTGTCGATCATTCAAGTAAAAAAACTTTTTCAGATTCAGAATCAGATAGATATATTCAGGTAATAATGAATAAATTAAATTAAATTAACAAAAACAAATATTGGTAATGACAAAGAAAAAAAAAAGATCATATATATATATATATATATATACAGTTTACATACATTGAAATGTTGTGAATTCAAGCATGGGAATAATTATGTAATCGCTTCCACTACAATCATTTTCGTGTTGTCTCACTGACAGTTCCATAGCTTGGAGGTCATATGCATTCATTTAGTTCATGAATGAAAAATACATGTGAGGCAGAGTAGCGATTGCATGCATAGCATTATTCTCAGTGCACTGATTTATCGCAATTGGTCATTATGTGCATAATCGTTGGCTGAAGTTATCTTACCAGCATCATGCTGATGTACTTAACCGTGGCATATCATTTGAATATTATGAGAAGCCTGAAATTGATTTAATAGTTAAGGTGTACTTATTTACATTAAATGCTAGATTGTATCCTCCTGCTAAGTTTAAATGGCTGCTATCATCCAATACCAGGTAGAAGCAGACACTATAGACAGGCAGTCTCGGTCAGTATGATTGAGCTTTGCCAAATGTATTTTGTTTGGGATATTTAATTTGGCTATGTATTTACAAAACACAATCTACATTTAGTTCACCATGCAGTCAGTGGTAAGGCATACACTCAAGTTTCATCTTAATTTTATTTTATGCAACTAACAAATCAAAAAAGACTCAAAATGTAAAATTATAAGTTATTTCCTAGTCATGATCTTTTATTAACTTTAATCCTAATTTAATTTTATACTGTATGAGGCTAATCTGTTCAACAATTCTCAACGGAAGCTATAGAGTGTGCAGTCTAGGGGCGAAGCACTGGTGTAGCCCGGGAGGGCTAATCCCCTGGTGCCTATAAGAACTGGGCAAGTTGGAGATGTTTAAAGCTGTTCTGAGAAAGAGAGGTTTCGCTCCACTTTCCCTTATGGTGCCGCTACTGGCCTTATATGGCCAAGATGGTATTGTAGAAGCAAACGGGAACAAAGTATTTCTAAAGCTTAATAAAGTACAGTTGCTATTCAAAATAATTTTAAAATTGTAACATCTTATTGGAGTTAAAACTATATTCGTTTTCTATGTTAGCCTCAAAACATATTCTACTTTCATGTTTTCACTAAATTCATTCTTGTCTTACAGTACAAGGCTATATTGTGTGTACCTTTGTGAGAATAGGATTTTGCCAATTATGTTTTTGGAAATTAGTTGAATGCTTGTTGTGAGAGTCTTTGTCTGTCTTCCTTGTGATTAATAATATGGGATATCATTCATTTCCTAGTGGCTGCATAAACAACAATTGGACCTGTCTCTTCCTTAATCCATATACAGTGTCATACAACGTATATTCTGTTTGTTTCTTTATTAAAAATAGACAAAAAGGATTTATTACATTTAGGAAATTTTGAAAACTATGGAAACTTTACCTTGAAAATGTAAAGCAGAATTGAGCTACTATAGACAATTAAATAATTAGAGAATTTGTTACTTAATTTATTTAGTAAAGTTTACTACATATTTATTTTGCTTAATAAAAACAATAAAAATACTGTAGCACCAAAGGTTTTGTATTTACAAATATAACAACAATAAAAAGACATTTAAAATATACATCAATCATGTAAAACTAGAAATATTATAAACAAATTATTCAAATCAATCAAGAAACTATAATATTCAGAATTTTTTTAGCCATTTTTATGAAATAAAAAAATTATTTTAAGATTATTTCTTAGGCATGACACTTAACTGTTATGTAGACCATCCATAAAAAACTACTGCATGTGTATATGATATAAAACATACAAAGTTGCATTTAATTATGTAATAACGTCACTTTTATTTTTACCCTTTAAATTGTAATACTAATATTTTTTTATGAAAAAGGTACATCAAAATGTATTCATTGTTTTTCTTGTATTGATCATTAGAGTTCGTATTTTTTAAGTATTTTATTTTCAAGGTATGTCTGGTTTACATAATTATTGTTCTGGAATTACCTTGGTGAAATATACGACATTATTTTTACAATATTGAAGACCTGAAACATTTTACTCTCAATAAAACATATAGGTAAACAAAACTAAACTAAACATAAACAAATCTCAATGATAACAGGATTAATGTTAAAATACAGTTAATTGATAATTTTGTTTAGCGTTTTGGATTGGATTTATTTGGTGTGAACACCAAGGATAGCCCACGAAAGTCTAGAAGAAGAGTGAAGTCCTTCTGGTGGCGATACACCGGGAGACATTCCCCTACTCTTTTCCGAAGAGTGTACTGCATTCTTGAACGTGCACATGGGCCATAAATGCACACGGGACCAACAGCTTAAACATCTCATCCGAATGGCGGTGTGCTAGTAACTTGTATTTCAGCCCTCCAGCTGAAACACAAGGAGAGGCAGCAATAGGAATTGAACCGGGAACCTAGAGATGTCAACGGTTCAGCGCACACACAGTGGCTACCATCAGATTAGCCGAGCTGCTCAGTTGACAATGTTTACATTATGTTATCCCATAATGTTAATCTGTACCTGTGAGTCCAGGAAAAATTAATTCACATGCAAGCATGCTTTTAATCCCATTGTTGTGTTCAAGGCTTAAATTTATAATCCTCAAGAACTGTTTACTTTCTTTCAGTATATTTAAATTATTCAGATATTTGCCATGCATCTGCCATGCATCATGTCAAGCATGCTCATCATCAGTTTGTTCGTTTGTTCAAGGCTTAATTTTAAAAATGCTCAAGTACTTTTTTTTTTTAATATTAAAATTATTCATATAATTAACACTTACCAGCAACAATGCATATTAACAAAATTGTATTGAAATAATTTAAATTCAATTTAAAATGATGTGAATTTGTTTTTCCTTTCTTTAAACCTCTTTGATTTGCCTATGTATACATCATGTCATTTGGCCACAACACTTGTATTTTCCACAAAACATGATGGTATGGACAAGAGCTAGTTTAAAGCCCTGTTCACACTATCAAATTTTACCTGACAAAAACATGTGACATGCCCATATATAGTCATGAATATAGTCATCATATCAGTACCATATGTAGGCACATCATCACTATATACTGTATAGACCTACAACAGTTTTTTGTCAAATAAAATTTGATAGGCTGGACATTCTTAACAGTGTCTGTATAATTTTCTTGATACAACAACAGTTTTAAAATTGTAATGTACATTTGCTTTTATCCTCCATGGTTGAAATTTGTTAAAAGTTTACACATTCAAAGACCTTTAGTCACAGAAGTCTCAATATTTTGATCTCCACCCCACCGCCATGAAAGAGTGCACTTTCTTCTGCATTTTAAGCTGGGCACTTGCTGTGGCTGATGGACGTTGGCCGACGCGATTCTATACTGAACGCAACACCACGAATCGCGCACAACAGATCATTTTTAATGACGATCCATTCAGACTGTCACCGACAATTAGCCGACGGCGTTGCGTTGTCTAGCACTCACACAGAGCGGAGTTAGATTCGTCGTACGACCATCGTATGACTGTCGTTGGTAGTTGCAGCACTGACTGGTTATGGCAGGGGCGCGGCTAGCTATAGCTTTAACGTCTTTGCTGGTTCCAGCCATTCCTTGCCCAGGGTTCGGTTAATAACCAAGTCTTCTCGGATAAAAAACTTAAAATGGAGGCCCAGTGTATACACTTGGCTCGTGTGCACTTTAAAGAACCCATTGCATCTTTTGGAAGAGTAAGGGGTTACCCTAATGCTACGGTTTATTTCAGCCCCTGTTGTTGTGGAATGATGTGAACATGTAGCTACTATAATAAGCGCCTCTTTACGGTTGCTAGGTAGTCACAGACCATGCAAATACACAATTCAGCACAATGATGCTGCAGTTATGGGTTATTTTCCTACAGTTACGTATACCTTGATGCAATTTGACATTTTGGAATATTTTGTTGGTTACATTTTTTTTTTCTCCACAATTTTACAGTTGCCAATAGTACAAGTACAGTATACTCTACTCATTTTAGAGGTCATTCACAGATAATAAGGATAACGATGATGTCAACAAATGTAGACTCAATAAATGATGTACATGCCCTTTTCCTGTATGATAGCAGGCAACATAAAAGTTGTTTTCTCTGGTCCAGAAGTGTAAGTATAGAATCATTTGCACACATTTGCAGGTGATAATAATTCTCAATTGGTAAGTTTACCCAAATAGCATTTATCATAATGGAAATGTGTGAACTATATTGTTAAAGATGTTTTCATTCATTTTAAAACAATTTCTTTGAGAAAGGAAAACATTTATCAATGTACATCTATAAACCCAAACTTCAAAATTCTACTGTATGCAATATTACTGTAGTGATAACACTGACATATTTTGAAATTATTTTTTAATTGTATTTTATAATTTTTTTTTTATTACCTGTAGTGTATATTTTGTTTTGTATTGTAATTTCATACTTGTTTGGAATGTGATAAAAACATTGAGATTTGATCAACTGAGGCTTTTTTAAACTAAGAGATACATTGGCCTTGAGCATTCCTGTAAATGAGTAGGAGCGCTATACAAATCTTATTTATTATTAATACCTTGTATCTCATTTTATGCAATTGATTGTAGTATATAACATTATATATTATGGAATGTGCCATGCTTGATGAATTTTAATTAATTTTTAATGTTTTTTTTTTCCTTAACAGAATCAATCTTACCACTTCAATTTGGTTTTACTTGTAGGACTAAATGTTGCGAATGACAAGGCATCAGCTACATTGCTTTTTAAAACATTTTGCAGAAAAATTATTATTATGTGTACAATATGCAATTGTGGTTTCAATGATTATTTTTTTCTTTCCCAATGATTAATGCAAAATTTTCTTTGATTTCTCCTTTACTTCCTCAGAAACACTAACTATATATTCTTTATTTTCCTAGAAATGTTTAAAACAATTGCATTTTATCAATTCCAATCATTCATTCATGTATACTTATTACTTTTAAAATTGTTTTGCAGTGCAATGCGTATTTTGTTGACGCAGTTACCAAGACCATGGATTGTGGATGAGAAGAAAGATGACGGCTACACAGCACTCCACCTTGCTGCCCTCAACAACCATGTGGAAGTTGCTGAACTCTTGGTTCATCAGGTTTGTATTAAATGATAATAAAATGATTTATAAAGCACATTTCCAAAAATGATTACAGTGCTAAACAGTATAAAAATTATGTACAAGTAAAGTACCTTAGAGAGTAAGTACGGGTTAAGCTTGGCACTTGATTATTGGTACTGCCCAATCACTGAAAATTAGTCTTCTTCAGACTTTCATGGGTTATCCTTGGTTTTTATTCGTTTACGAAACTGGTATTTATCTTCAAATACAATTTCAATAAAAGAGAGCTTTCGTAATCCCGGGCGATGAATCGAGAATTTAATGTATTTGCAACATTTTCATGAAATTTGATTATTTCCTGTATTAGATGATTATGAAACTGCCTTGGGTAAATCATCATAGTTCATAATGATTACAAATTCACTCAAATTCAATTTTTCGCAGATGTTTACATAATCAATGCATTTCTTCCTAGGCTAGGCCCTAGACATTCTGTACCATTAAATGGCCAAAGTGCGTGCCACGGCCATAGAAACAGACTGTGCTACCACTAAGAGTTTGGTTCTCGGTGAATGCGATATGGGATAGCAAAAGCTCACTATATTTTTTAACGAGACCGATACCAAGAACGGGAAGTTTTCTCACCGGATTGGTTCTCAAACGAGGTAACAAAAGCTAAAAGGTCAATTGATTAATCTTGGATAAGATAGTATAATACACACACAAAGTATCAAAATGCACTCATTTTGATACTTGGAGTATGTACTATACTATCATAACGAAAGCTCTCTAATATTTGTCTATTCAGGCCAAACTATTCCTGAACAAGTAATGTAGGGTCATCAACCCTCTCAATCCATTTTTTATTTATGTTTATTTTCGAACTATAGATCAAACATAGAAGTTTAAAATGCAATATAAAAAATTTGTTGGTGAAAGAAGTGTGTTATTGTATGTACAGTCTCTCAGCAATAATAAACTTTGAAAATGTTGTGTTTTTGCAGGGCAAAGCAAACATGGACATACAGAATGTCAACCAGCAGACAGCACTTCATCTTGCCGTTGAAAGACAACATACTCAGATTGTCAGGGTAGGTTTCTATCATTAGGCAATAGCAATGTTTGCTAATTTCACATTCATGCTACTAAATGTGCACTTACGAGGTTTGCCCTCCCAAAACCAGCATACTGTCCCTAATTGTTAAACTGAGTAATTAGCATAAAAATGTGACAGTATTGTATACTTTAGTACAGACAAGACATAAAACTTTTACTCATTCTCAATAGTAAGTCGATTCCACTAAGTGACCCATCCCTAAAAATTAATAAATTCATGTATTCTAGCTGTGTGATTATTAAATTATATCTTTTTGTAGCTTCTTGTAAGAGCTGGTAGTAAGCTTGACATACCAGACAAAGATGGAGACACTCCTCTACATGAAGCACTACGCCACCATACGCTCTCTCAACTACGACAACTTCAAGATATGCAAGATGTAGGGAAGGTGACCTATGTTCATTATATTTCCTCAATATGAATATCTCACAATAAAGTTATTAGCTTATACTATTAATGTACGTCATGTATAAATTCCACGGAAAACCACATTGGTAGCAACAGTTACATTACAGCCCTATTTTATGATCAACTGCAGGAAGTTACTAGGCTATATAACTAGGTAGTTGATGAGTCTTAGCCGGGTAGCTGATGAGTCCCAACCGGGTAGTTGATGAGTCAGTGTGACATTGACTATCTTCTTGGAATTGATATAGCCCCTCCCATTTGGTCCCACATATATATAAAATGAAATTACGTAAAGAAAATTGTTAGAAGAAAGTGATTAGAAGGATATTAGAAGAATGATTAGAACAGAGAAGAATTAGAATCAGAAGAGAATCTTATAGAATCTTATAGAAAAATATTAGATCAAGAAGAGATACTAAAAATAGAGTTAACACGCTTATGTATAATGTATACCAGGGGAAAATTTGCAAGGGTGGGGGGGTGGCCCTGGCACCCGCCCCCTTTTGGAAGGTAAAAAAAAAAAAAGAAAGAAAGAAAAAAAATTGATTGCCCAAAAAACCTGTGGGGCATGCCCCCAAACCTCTTAGGGGGGTATTATTTTGATCGGAATACAGAATAACAAGAAACTGCTTAAAATATAGTTTGACTTCTATCCTCTATTGCAAGTCAACATATGTCCCCAACACAGCAACTTATGTTCCTGTGTGTGTAGTGTAATGCCCACGGTAGGCATGGGAACAAAATACAATACTTTAGGTAAGGATATGAAGGGAATGCGATATTTTATTACAGAGCACTGTGTGTTAACAGCATTGTTATTCTATAATAAACTTATATAAAAGACTGTTGCACTTACAGTACTTGCTGGGAGACAATATTTTGCCTGTCATGAGACATTATGGAATATAATTATGTTGCATCATTATTTGAAATGTGCCTTGATCAGTGACACATAGTGTCTCAAAATCAAAGAGCAAAACATAAATAAAAACAATTGCAACATACAGTAACATAATTATATAAAAAATTGTAAAAACGAATTAAACAGTGACCACATTGCCAACTGTGACATTTATTTGATCTGGAAGTTATTGTAAATCTAAATACTCTACAAATTGAAGTTTTAATTTTTAATTCCATATAATTATTTCTTTTATTAGTTTTTAATAATCAGAATAATACAATTATTTTTAAATATCCATGTATTTTTTTTCTTAAGAATGTATATCAATAAAGTATAATGCAAACGCATCAGAAATGTTAAATCATGTAAATTGAATTTTCTTAATAGTTTACTATGAGGGAGAGACTATAAGTGATTGTTAATGATAGCTCTAAGAAATGTTAAGTATCTATATACTGACAAATAATCGTGATTATTTTCCAGTTATTGATGGGATTGAGCACACAAGGAACTGATAAAAAGAGCAGTGCCTCTATAGCTTGTTTCCTGGCAGCAAATGGTGCTGACCTCAATGTCAAAAATAAGAAGGGACAGTCCCCATTAGACTTGTGTCCAGACCCAAATCTCTGTAAAGCTTTGAAAAAATGCCACAAAGAGAAATATAGGTAAGACTATTTTAATGTTTTTCCAATAAAGACTTTACGATTAATTTTGTGAGTTATTATTCATAGAGGGATTCAGGCCGAGCCCCCCACTAAATTATTCAAAAGTACCAAAATGGGATAAGAGGAATATTAATTACATTAAAATTGTTAGTCATTTTTTGTGGCCACCTAGAAAGTTCCATAGACTTAAAACTTTGTAACTGAGATGAGGTTATCTAGACCAATTGGCTTCCCCCCCCCCCCCCCACTCCATTTTGAACTACTGGATCCACCACCTTTATATTTTGGTTTTGATGAATTATTTTATTGTGCTAGCCCATTTTTATTAATATGGGAACTTTATTATGTAGCTATCGATTTTTGTTAAACTACAATATTGATTTTGATATGTTGATTTAGTAATGGGGTGTTCCATTTAGAAGTAGAATGCTTCTAGAATTTTCCCTTTTCTTTGACTGCTAAAATATTGTTATTTATGATTATTGAATGATTTATGATTTATCCATTGATTTTCAATGAAAATAAAATTTTCATTGTCATAGCAATACTCCTGTACAACAAAGTAACAATCTTGTACACCAAGAAGAAGATTCATTAGATGAATGCATGGTATGCTCTGATATGAAGCGCGACACCATATTTGGACCATGTGGACACATTGCTACATGTTCACTGTGCTCACCACGTGTAAAGAAGTGTCTAGTCTGCAAAGAGCAGGTGCAATCCCGTACTAAGGTGTGTATTCCATCAACCACTTCATGTATATGTTTGTAAAAGTAACGTGGCAAATCCTGTAGAATTTTGGGTGAAATTAAACAAAATAGGCATATGAAGAAATTCCATGTTTGCAATAGATTCATGGTGATGTTTTAGTTGTCTCAGATTTTATGAATCAGTAATTTTATCAGTTTTAACCTTTAGTGCAATAGTTTGGTTTAATAAACTTATGAAACGAAAATTAGCAGGAAAAGTAAGACAGCTAAAAAGAATAATGATGGTGCTGTACACAGTGCCATAAATAAGAAATTCAAAGTAGTTATGTCAGATAATATTCACCCTCTTTACCAGCACCGTTCATTTAGCAAAACTGGTTATTTGATTTTTTTTATGAGGTGGAAGACAAACATGGTAAGAAATTCAAAAGTCTTATGAGGAAATTTAATGCAATTTTGGTAAAAATAATTAGGCCTCTGTAGAAACTTTATACATTTTATACGTTTGAAATTCATTTTAATACACACTTTTTTTCTTACACCAATTTACTTTTACGATTTTAACCTTTACCTTTATACTTTAACATTTTATGCTGTGATGTATGTATTTCTGTTTTATAGTGTATGTCATTTTATCAATGTGAATACTGTATTTTAAACTGTGAACAGTCAGTATTTCAAACCGAATATTTTTACAGTGTTTGACAAATAAAGATTGAATTTCATGTATACTAGCCACATGGTTGGCTTTAGGCTACCTTTGTGTCTAGGCACAGTTCACCCCTGAGAAGAGCTTGTAAAGTGTAATGAAACTAGCATGTTGTCCTGGGATTTTAGCTTACCTGTTTCACAAAGGCCTTTTTTTTTTGTCTACGTTCAACATACCCTATTTTTTTTCTATTAATTAGATGAAAGTACTAAAAATTAAAAAATTAAAAAATAAATGTAGATGCTTAATCTCGCCTGTTCTTGCAAGATAAAGTTTATTTAACTTTCTTTTAAATTGTTTTAATAGATTGAAGAGTGTGTGGTCTGCTCCGATAAGAAAGCTTCTGTGTTGTTCAAGCCATGTGGACATATGTGTGCTTGCAGCAGCTGTGCCAATCTGATGAAGAAATGTGTGCAGTGCCGAGAAACCATTGATAAGACTGTACCATTTGTTGTATGCTGTGGAGGTCAAGGTAACTATTATTATTATGCACACTTTTAAACACCTTTTAGGTATTCAAATCTGTGCAGGTCTGGTTTGCTCATCCCTTTTTCATAAGCGTTCGACCAGACTTCTCCTCACAGCGAGTCTGTTTACCTCTCCAGTCTCCAGCGTATGCCCGTACCCATTTTTACAAGCTTGGACAGAGAGACAAACATTTACTGTATAAAGGGTGTTACCCAAGAACACTAGCGACCTGCAAGGCTAAGATTCAATACAAATATGAAATGCTACATTTGAAATTATTACAATTACAGAAGGCAGCATTAGGCTGAAAAGTTTAAATGTCTAATACAGAAAGAGTTTTTTTTTTTTTTTTTTTTTGTAACAGGAAACTAACTTTTTTTTTTTTTGTAACAGGAAAGTACTAAAAATTAAAAAATTAAAAAATAAATGTAGATGCTTAATCTCGCCTGTTCTTGCAAGATAAAGTTTATTTAACTTTCTTTTAAATTGTTTTAATAGATTGAAGAGTGTGTGGTCTGCTCCGATAAGAAAGCTTCTGTGTTGTTCAAGCCATGTGGACATATGTGTGCTTGCAGCAGCTGTGCCAATCTGATGAAGAAATGTGTGCAGTGCCGAGAAACCATTGATAAGACTGTACCATTTGTTGTATGCTGTGGAGGTCAAGGTAACTATTATTATTATGCACACTTTTAAACACCTTTTAGGTATTCAAATCTGTGCAGGTCTGGTTTGCTCATCCCTTTTTCATAAGCGTTCGACCAGACTTCTCCTCCTCACAGCGAGTCTGTTTACCTCTCCAGTCTCCAGCGTATGCCCGTACCCATTTTTACAAGCTTGGACAGAGAGACAAACATTTACTGTATAAAGGGTGTTACCCAAGAACACAAGCGACCTGCAAGGCTAAGATTCAATACAAATATGAAATGCTACATTTGACATTATTACAATTACAGAAGGCAGCATTAGGCTGAAAAGTTTAAATGTCTAATACAGAAAGAGTTTTTATTGTTTTTTTTTTTGTATCAGGAAACTAACCAAAAACATTGCATTAGATTTGAAGCCACTTGTAATGTACAGTATTAATGTACTTGCCAAAATCAAACATTTGGTTGAAACAGAAACTTACAATTAATGTCAGCCTGTTGTTTTTAGTTATGTGCCCTATTTTTCCTTTTCCCATGTTAGGGTTGTCTTTGTTCTGGTCATTTTAAAAATTTGTTGCGCTTTCTTTTGATATATGACTCACTGATAAACTCACCATCTTTATATTTAGCGATGAAGGTTATCTCTTGTGAATATGTTTGTTAAAATCTAACATCCAGTTTTGTTTTCAAATTTCACATGCAGAATGATTGTAATGTGAAAGTAGTAATTTGTGCAAGTCATAAGCTGGGTCCTTGTGGTATGGCATGTTGGGCTATTTTCCAAATTTCTTAATTTCACATAACATTCACTTTCTTATCTTAATTAAAAGAATCTCACTCAGTCTATTTGGTTTCATTCTTGATTTATTACTACCTGGTTTTGTTTTTTTTTGTTTTTTTTTTGTATTTGGAAAAAAAGACATTGCTATCAGTACATTTTAAATATGTATTTGTTGGAAAAAAACATTTGTTGATCTCTAGGGTGGTTGCTTGCCATAAGTTATTCACCAAAAAACTTGAGTGCAGTGAGTAAAGTAGGGTGTGAATTAGGATATCTGGTAGTGACATGAGCATGCCAAAGGCCAAGCAAAATTAGCAGTTCTGTCGTTATTGAAGACAGTTTACCTTGGAAAAGAAGGTTGTTTATTCATCATGGTTCATCTGTTGGTCTGTGTGGTAGCATGTTATGCAAGAACTAAAGTTTTGGTTAGTCTGATAAATTTCAAACTTGGCAGAATGCAAGATAACAAAAAGACGTGATTATGCTAATTATTCTTTTACATAATTAATACCTAATTATTCAGTACATTTGCATTTTATACTACCATAATTCCCATCAGTTTACATGAAATTTCAATATTTGTGTTTGAATATTCAAAATCAGAGATTCAATTTAATTTGGAATTATCTTCATTTTATTAATGTGATAAACTGTTAATTAAATATCAGTTTAACACAATTTGTGTTCATTTTAACGCTATAAGCATTTCAAACTTGTCGCAGTTTAGACCAATACAATTTCATTAAAACATTCTCCAAAATGCAATTAGTCAGCAACCAAACTTGAATGCTGCAGTGTCTTACCAAACAAACTCGGGTGATCCTTTATTTTACACCCATACTCGAGCAGACCTGTGTTACATATATCACTTTTATTGGTGGTGGGAAAATAAGCTGGAGTATTGAAAGTAATTTGTTTTAATTCTACCCCTACATGCAGAATTTATTGATAATTCTCAAATTGTCTTCACTTTAATGTGAGTCCAATCCTCTAAACCAGTTAGGCCTGATCGTCTGGAAATAAGCCTGATTGTCACCTACAGTACTGTTCAACATACAGAATTCACACAGACGATCGAGCCCAACGTAGATTGGGCTCATTTTAGCGATACAAATAATGAATGTTTATGAGTACAAAATATTTTCATGAGTTCAAAGATTGACTATTTCATGTGACTTCCACCTTTTCGAATGGAACAATCAATCTTTCAACGAATGAAAATATTCTTACCATTGCATGAGTAAATAACATTCAATTTTTGTTAAATAACACACCTTAAATAGATTTTTGTCATTTGATATCTTATTTTAAAAATCTACATTTTTTACTATGGAGATTCTTTTATTTAGATATTTTCTGAAAAGAATCTACCATTTTTCCAAATGGAACGGTCCTGCATCTTTTTAACCAATCAAAAGATTGTATTACTGTAGGTTGAAGACGTGCAATGGGAAAAAAACGGGTGAAAAGAAAATGCATGGATGGAAATAAAAATGCATGGTGGAACTATGGGGTAAATAACCAATGTCACATGATAGGAAATCCACCAATCAAATGACATGAATCTATTTAGGTGTGTTATAAAATTGAATAGAACAGTGGTAAAATAGAACAAAAGATCACATGTGCATGGAACATAAGGATGGAAAATAAGGATGTGCCTATTCATAAAGGGCAATGCGTCAAAGCAGCTTATAGTAGTATAAAATTAAAAGATTTTAACATTTATACCAGAGAAAACTTTCACTACAGGGAGAGGCTACGTTTTTAGTGTGTTTGTTTTCAATATTTATTCAGCTTTTAAAGCAATTGTTCATCTTTTTTTTTTGTTCTTTTTTTTCTGTAATTACTGTGTTTGTGTGTGTGTGAGAAACCACACTGTATTTTATATGTAATGTATATATCTTATATATAGAAGTAAGGTAGAAGAGGCTCTTCAAGTTGTTTTTTTTCCGATTTGACAACTTGGCAAAATTCTTGAAAAAAAATAGGTGTAAGAACTATTTTACTCTTTTAATATCACTCCTCCAATCGTATGTCAATGTTGCCTAAACTATTATACCACCTTCCTCAATGTGTCCCAGCCCTCTCCAACAAATACAAGTATTTTCTCCAAATTTCCATAGAGAATTAATTTGGATTCACTGAATTCACTTACCATAGATAGCACAATTATCTCGCATTTTGATTATTCTATATATGCCTTAGATTTAATATACAGTAAAAAAATTTTTCCAAAATAAAAGTGTGGTCTTCATCCTAACTAAAATTTCTTCACTCACATTTTAAAATTTTATTGAGAAAGAAGCAGCCATGTTTCTTCTTTAAAAAATGTGTCTGTAGCATTGTCATAAGTGGTTACCTTTCTGTCCCTAACTTGAGTTACCTTTGAACTTGTGTTTCAGCTGAGCAGCCTGCTGTTCCAGTGCAACAGAATAAACCAGTTAATACTAGAACAATCCAGAATAATGCAGACATTATCAAACTCCAACAACAGCTACAAGATATCAAGGATCAGGTAAAATAACTCTACACAAATTTTCCTTACTTGACTGCTTTAATGAGAGCTTCGCCTTTTGATCTAAGCAGTGGATCTAATTCAGAATCTTCTTCCATATCCATCTGCTTGGTGTGATCTGGATGGTTCTTCTGAGAGTTTGGCTGAGAGGTAATGTTCCTACTTCTTGCACTGAAGGCACCAGTTCAAAGCCATCTGGTGCCTAAGTTTAATTAATTTTGTAATCGGCTTGAAAAACTATCCCATGAAAGGAGAAAGGTTCCCCAGAGGCCAGCCAAAAATATCAACTTGAATGGGAGAATAATTGGTTTGACATTAGTGGGTGAATCAGCGCAGTGTAGTGCGAGACTGTTCGATTTCAAGACCTAGCTGCCATTGACCTTGCTACTGTCCTTGGGATGGAATGTTAAACCTTTGAGGACTAACACTATAGTATTTACACGTTGCCATTTATAACATCAATTTCTTCTTGAGCTCTCATATGGATAATTTTTTGTTTACCATTCTCTTCCTCAGACATTGTGTCCAGTATGCCTCGACCGTCTGAAAAATATGATTTTTCTATGTGGCCATGGTACTTGCCAACTTTGTGGAGACCGAATGTCAGAGTGCCCAATCTGTCGCAAAACAGTTGAAAAACGCATCTTACTTTACTAACAAAATAATTAGTATTATATAGTTTATGGCCAGTAAACATAAAATAATGAACTGCTCAATTGTGAATACCATCTACGTGCCATGATTATTTGAAATATAAAAATTTGTCAAATTGATTTACTAAAGAGGCCAAGCTCTCGATAGTCATTACTTGACACCTAGAACCTGCTGGCCTCCACCATATTCTCATACGCTTTTTGTAAAGTAGTCCAGAGGTGGGCACAAAAATGGGTCAGAGGGCCAAATTCAGATTTTGATTAACACCAAGGGCTGCACCAAAAATTTCAAACAATACGATTTGTTTTGCATAACAGTAAAATTAATTCAAAGACTCGTCCAGTGCGAGTTTTTGGGATCGTCCACTCTTAACAAGGGTTGACGTATTTGTATAAGTTAACCTACAGTAAATTTAATCTCTTGGCCATCCACGTGCCAGAAGGTATTATTTCTTTTCATTTTCTCAATGATGAAACTACTCAGGATTTTGAGATTTTTGGATGAATTTCGGTCTTGTACGGTATGATCATATAAAAGACCATCGGCTGAGGCCTAGCTATTAACTCGGCCTACGCTAGGCCCTAGGCCGAGCAAAGCCAGAATTGGTCTAGGCCCTGAGGCTAGAGGTTGCCTACCGTAGGCCTAGGCCTAAGATTTTAAAAATAAAGGAATACTTTCTCGAACTCATATTTTTAACTAATAGGAGGGCCTAATTAGTATCAAATTTCAATACATGTACAGGAAAGGAGAGTGATCTACAAAAATCCCTACCTACGCTACGAATGGATTACATGGTCAATTACCAATTCTGATGCCTCAGCAAAGCTTCAAAAATCACTGTTTTAAAATCACAAATTCAGTTATATAGTACATATAATTGTTTATACATAGATAATAAATATCACAAATATTTACACTCGCTATGAATATAAGTTATGCAAAATCTGGCAACAATTTTGTAGGTTATATGACTTTATTGGATAACTATAAGAATTTTTAGAGCCAAAAAAACTCTAAACTCTAATTGTCCTGTTTTGTGGCCCAAAACAAATTGTATTGAACCTTCATGCACTGCTTTAATACCACTTTATTCTCCATTATAATACCAGTATTACATTTTACTTTTTATCCATGTTGGGCCGTCAAAAACAAGGCATTTTCAACTAGAGATGATTGGCGAGCTGGGGGCCGGGAAGAGAAATATGTACTTTTTACAGATTCCTAGACTCTGAAATCGATTAAATAACAATTTCAAGTCCCTAAATAGTGGGATGCTTTGGTCCACTAGTGATATGATGAAGGGTAATTCGTGATATTACTGATGAAGGGTAATTAAATACTCTATTTGACTAGGGTCCCAGTTTGACTATTGATTATCCACACTATATATTAGTTGACCTCACCAGCAGATATAGTCAAGTTTAACACTCAGCATCACTAGTCTTGATTGGTCACTTTTTTGGCAATTCTATACACATTCTGATCTTGATCTGCTGCTGTGCGGAACGCACTCTTTAAATATCTTTGAAGGCTGAGACAGCCAACTTCTTTAATTATTGGTTCCGGCTGCCGTAAAGTGTTCTTTCCAGGGACCTGGTATGAAGTAATTATACATTTAATTATTGAGACTAAATCTGCATCAATTGTGAATTTGGCTTTCGAAAAAAGAAATAGAGGAAGAAGAATTAGTGAATTGATAGATCTCTTCAGCACATTAAGAACAATGTATTATTTTTCTTCAAATTATCAATTGCTTACATGAGAAAGTGTTGCAGCGACTATATTATTGTGTTGTAAGATTAATTCTGCTGCAAACCTTCAATATTATTGCAGAAACCTTCAATTGTGAAGTTGGCTATACAAAAATTTTAGGAAGGATGGAAATGAAAAAGAGATGATCAATTAACAACAGATTCCTGTGGCACATATACAACAATGTGATCTCTTATTTGGTAATGGCTGTGACAAATTGTATAAATTAAGAATTTTACATGTAAGAAAGTATCAACTTTACATTTACATTTTATTCAAAGATTGACAGCATTTTTATTCTATTTTCATTCATTCAGCTATTTGAGATTTAGGCTAGTTGCCATATCCCATTCGTAAAATGCTACATTGAAGACTACAGTCTATTGAAACACTTTTTTGCCAATCACTGGATTTGTGACACAACAATTTGTATTCCCAGTTTGCCTAATGTCCATCTAGTGAATGACAAGAATAGCTACATATTGTATACTTCCAGGTAGGCCTGCAAAAGGATACATTGTAACTATTGTGATTACCCATCTGAATGACAAACTAATAAAATCATCAAAAGGAAATCTGTTGATAAAAATTGTAAGGGCCTCATCTTTGTAGCTTTTGAAGTAAGGGCACAGGACACACTTTGGGAAACCTGAAACCCCTAACAATTACCCTAACCGGTGGGACAGTGTTTGGTAACTACAGTCTGGCATTACGCAAACTGGGCATATAACGCTTACTGTATGTACAAGATACGTATGCGGCATGTCATTCCTCTTCTAAAATATACCTGTCTAAAACTTATTTTCTAGGTTTGAATATTATATTTGTGCCTGTATATACATATATATATATTGTAACCCTGCAATCACAGGCAGATTGTATATCAACTTAAATGTTTACAAGGTTCTAACCATTAGCTAAAATTAATTCAGGTTGTACTCGGTATATCTTACATTCATGAACTCATCTGTGTGAAAGTGAAAAATACATTATTCCAATTATAAATGGAAAACTCAAGATAATTCATTTCTAGATGCTAAATTTGTTAATAATCTACTAGATTTAATTCTAGATCTAAAAGTCACAAGGAATGGACCGTTTTAAAGACAGTCTGTCCACCTTGGATTTTTTTGCCAGATTTCTCACAAACACAATATGCAATGTATTGCATGAGCTATGGTTAATCACATTTGCAGGAATAACTAACATTATTTTTTCAAACTACCTGTTTAGCTTAGGCTTCGTTTAAGTGTCCCTTATTACTTAACTCTGGTAATCATTTGCATATATGGCTTTGCCTGTGTGGTTGGCATTTAAGTGTCCACATATTCTGCACTTGTAGTCAAATACTGATGAAAGTATTGCTTGACTACGCTTGTTTATACTTCATAAATATTTATTAGGTAATAACAACATTTTATTGGTAATTTCAACTGCTGCCCTGTGCATGAGAAATTTACACAGATGCAGAGAAAATTATACTACCTAAGATTGGTTGCATACAATCACTACGTTGTCACTATGGTGTTTTCAGTGCAATCATTGTACTGCCTAGCATTTCCGGCGCAAAAGCTTTCGGCGATAGCGTGTAGAACTTGTATGGAAACCAAGCTTTATTCACCCCCATCTATGTGTACTGTATGCAGACTGTGCAATTTTACCCCAACAATCAAAATGGCTAAAGTTGATTGATTGAGATATAGTAAAGCTTATGTATTATTTTGGTTAAACAGTGAATTCAACTTTCCTCAGTGTTATATGCTTGGGAAGTGGAGGGAGGTACTCCCAGTCCTCCAGGTAGAGTTCACATCAGACCATGTTGTATTTGTATATCTTATCCAGTCTCTATTGAGTTTTTAATAAATAACTGCATTTTTTTCCTGGTAACTTTGCATAATCTAGGCTACAGATATTTTATTTGTACTGTATAGTATTTATATAGTATTTTATGTAAAAATGTTATCTAAACACGTTATATTTTCATTGTGGATTTTTGGCCTCAGTACGAACTCTAAAACGTATGCATTTTCTTTTAGTTTTAAGGCATATGCATATTTTATAAGTCCGCAATGACGATATAATGTGTTTCTATGAATTAAGAAATAATAGTATTTGCAACTGACTGGTTAGTGAAAATTTGTAATCTGATGAATTTACTGTCAATAATGCAAAATGAGGTTGCCCTACGTGTTTTGTGCTGTGGTATTGGGTACATTTTACATTGCACATGTCTATCTATTGAAATTAATCTTTAAATGATGTGTAGGTAGTTCAGTACACTAACATGGTTATGTTTGTCCTTTACAATAATGTAGCTTGTAAAATACTGTAGTCTTATTTACCATTTTTATTACCATTAATTTATTATCAGTTGATATGCTTATAGACATATCTATGGGAAGTCTTTTATTTTTGAAATAAATTTACCCATGTACTGTGTTTTCTTTCTTCCACAAGTTTCATAAAATTTCCAATTCAGCTTTTTATATCTTCGGTTGTTCTTCACATGAGTAATTTAAAATCACTTGAACTACAAGGGGCAGATCCAGGAGTTTAATTTTGGAAAGATGTTGGTGGTGGGGGGGCCTACAAAGTATTTCAGATGGTTTGAATCCTACTGCCCCAGCTCCATCATGACGTGGGTGTGTTTACTTCTATTTTGAAGTCCAGTTTTGTTTTAGACCAACTAGACTATTATTTTACATGCTTGTTGGTAAAATTTTAAAGCCTTGTTTGCTCCAGGGCCCCACCCCTCAATACAGGAGTACATGATTTGCTGATATTATTCATTCATCTTTCATTTGAACACCTGTGCTGTTGCACTTTCCTCATCTGGAATATCATGAGCTCTCTCTGACATTGCGTCTGATGTTGCCTCTAATGGAATCTGAACCTTGTTCATGGCAGTTACAGCCTCTGTGATATCCTGGAGTCTATAAGTAAAAAGTAAGCAGCATCAAATACTCATGTATGTGTATATATGTATATGTATACTGTATGTATATGTGTATATATATGTTTGTGTGTATGTGTATATGTATGTGTGTATAAGTGATGTATTAACCAACTTACTTATATTATTAGTATTAGTATTTATTTTTATCTCTATTACTATTTTGTAAACCCTTTTTTTATTTATATTTCGTTCTACCGCAGTATTTTCTTACTATATTTTATCACAGTAATTAAGTTTTTACTGATTTTGTTATTGTTGCACGTCTTTACGGCTGTGCCTCTGTTATAAAAGAGAAGCAATAAAGTTACTTACTAACACAGCGGGTTTACGAAATTGCTAAATGCGATGACGAAAGTGACAGGCTGCCGACCGGCACCAGGTGAATGATTTTGTTAAGATTTATAAACATAATTAAAACACGAATAGCGCCTAACTCACTCTAAAACCAAGGATTTATCTAATCCAAACGCCCAACTCATTGAGAAAATAACAGTAGAAGTAGGCCTAAACTAAAAGTCCCCATGGTTACGTTGTTTACACTGGATAAGGCCAAAACATGAAAAATAAATATATGTGATATATGTGATATATATATATATATATATATATATATATATATATATACATATACATATATATATATATATAAATATATATATGTGTGTGTGTGTGTGTGTGTGAAATACTAAGTTGACGTATAACAAACTACATGTTGAGAAAAGTCGTATATATATATATATATATATATATATATATATATACAGTTTATTTTTATTTTAACTTTATTTTCTTTTTCTATATGTATTTTGTTTTTGTATGTTTTTTGTTTTTTGAATGCAGTCACATTTCGTATGAGTGCCACAGTATCAAATGTGGATCTGATTGACAAATTCAGCAATACGGCTGGAATGTAAACATTATGACTACGTGATTTATAATGCCCTTACCTTTTTTCAATGTCGCTAAGTCGCTTGAATATACGTGCTTCAATTGGTAGTGTTATCGGCTCGTTCTTTGCTTCATTTTTGAAATCTTCAATTACCGGTATATTCCCGAATAAAGCCGCCGCCCATCCAGTAATCTGTAATATAACAGTTGCGAACATATTAGCAATTATGAATAAGATTATTTTGCATAGTATATTGCATATTCTCTATCTGTAAATTACCTTTTCTGAAAACGATTTCTTCTTTTTATTCGGGAAAACGGTTAGCGAATTCTTATCGAAGTACTTGATGCTGATCATTGGGAAGGTGATTTCAAATTGCATATAAAATGCAACAATGAGTTTCTGCTGCTGGTACTTCGCCATTTTTCCCATTTTCTCTATATCTCCGATGGCTAGTCCAATCTGTAAGAAATCATGTCACAATTCTGTTTAAATGTCTGAGTAGGCCTAGTATATTATCAGAACTATGTACAGTACTAAAAAATATCATTCGATCATATCAAACACCAGTAAAACAATATATTTAATGATAGGCAGTATGCTCTAGTTCAGTGTATTCTATTTATTAGTGGGTTATTCAGTGTTCAATTTGCACAATAGTTACAGAAGGATATCGGTGAAAACAAATCATGGCCGGCGGAACCGGGGGGGCCCGGGTCCCCCCACTTTTTTGCAAAAAATAATGTCTGGAGATTTTTGTGTGACCGGAAAAAATTCTAGACCTACCTTTTCAGGACCCGTGAGCTGATTTTTTTAAATTTTTTTTTTATGTTACAATCAGAAAATTAGAATTTTGAAGAACATAAAAGTCATTAAAACACACTTCAAATGTCGGGAAAGCTCATTCCCGCTTCACCGGATCACCCTTTCTTTTTGGGATTTATCGATTCATGGAAAAAAGAATACGCATGCAACTACTCATTTATTTATGTAGGCCTATGTATACACACATAAAATAAAAAATGAGAAAAATTTACCTGACCATTTTCAAGAGGGGAAAACATTGAATTTTGAAGAACTTAAAAAGTCATTTAAAAGACATTTCAGAAGTCAGTGAAGGTCATTTCCCGAATTCTAGAAATCGAAATTTTCCCGGGGGAACTCGGACCCCTTTTTTCTTTGGGGTTCATTGGTTCTATTGAATCATTTTCAAGAGGGGGAAACCTTGATTTTTGGAGAAATTAAAAGTAATTAAGTAGGGGAAGCTCATTTCCCGCTTCTAGGAATAAAAATTTTCCCGGGGGAGAACCCCCCGACCCCCCTTTCTTTTTGGGATTGGGAAAAAATTACCTGACCGTTTTGAAGAACTTAAATTAAAATCGCTATAAGATACGGTACTTCAGAAGTCGGGAAAGCTCATTTCCAACCATTTAGAAATTAACATTTTCTCTTTGGGTTCATTGATTCATTATAATAATTTTCAAGAGGGGAAAACCTTGA